AACTTGCCTGCTTTTTTTTCTTCTTCACACAGCCACACACCAAACAAACAGAAAAGGTCTAGCTTTTCATCTGTTGCCTGGTAACATAAGCACCCGATAAAAACAACAGGAAATATTTCACCAAATTCTGGTAAGAGAAGGAGCTAGGGAGCCCACACTTGCCGTGGAATGTGATGAGTTTGGTCAGCAGTTTCCTAAGTCCTTCTCAATTCAGTACACATACCAAGAAGGTGCGACTTTCTCTCACTACTGATCGGATAAGGAGATTTTGAAAGCATAATGTATAATCAACTCAAATTCACTCAAGAATATTTGTGGGCACATTGTAGATAACATAGAGGCTATACAAATATGTGAAGTTGTGCCTTATTCTTGAAATCACTGGACTACTATGCTTCATATATGAAAATATGATTATTTTAACTCCCTTAAAGACTCTACATTTTTTGTTCTTTTTCTACTTTGCTCTATTTCCTTTTAGGCATTTTGTGTGGTACTATCACCTAATGCTAATTTTCATACAAGCACATCGAGCAGACATCCCACTAGTCTCTCCTTTATCCCTCCTTTCCCTCCCAGTCTCCTTCTGTCCCTCTAGATGCTTTTCTCTTCTACTTTTATATTGCAGTTTTATGTCAGAGTATCTATATAAACTCTAGAAATCACAAAGCAAATATACAGCATTTGTCCTTCAGAAGCTGGCTTGATGAAGGGTGTTTGTGATCTCCACTCATTCACCCTCCGGGCATACACCTTTATCCCGACCCCACCATATCTTCAGTCTCACCAAGCCCTTTGCAATTTTATCCTTTATGTCTAAGTAAAAAGATACTACGAGGGTAGAATGAAAGTTTATACTCGGTTTCTTAAAAGCTTATTTACACTTATAATGATGTAGGGAAAACAAGGAAATGTCTAATACCCAGAATCGTTAAGAGGCTAGAAGTAAAGAGGGATCCACAGAAATGGCTTAAAAGGCAGGAGTGTCCTTCAGAGACCTCGATGGTAAGACACTATTGTCTAATTATAGCCCCTGTAGTTTGGGGTGCGGGTGTAGACACAGTCCTATTATGCCAGTGTTAATTGAAACCATGAGAATGTATCTCTTTGGCAGAAGAGCTATTAATTTTCATGGTGCATGTAACCACTTGTGCATTTCTTAAGCACCACAATAGACTCCACCCTTCTAGGCAAAACTACTGCTACAAGCAGGTAACTAACAAAAATGCATCATGAGCCATGTAGCGGCAGGCTATTCGTGAACCGTCTGTTTCTAATGAAGAGGGAGGGTATCTCTGCAGTTGGGATCTTAAGGCTCCAAGGAGTATGCTGAGACTGCTGGGTCCAGCGAATATGAAATGAAGCAAGGAACAAGGAACGAGTCCTTCACTCAAGCAGCGCTCTTCTCTGGGAGGAATGAAAGCTTGCTGATACTGACGGCCCTCTCAATGGCTTTGTGGTAATCAAATCACTGTTCATCTTGGAGGTGCAAAAGAGAGCTGGAAAAACAAGGTATCTACCCACGAGAAAGTGAGACTACCTCTGAGTTAAGCAAGAATTCAGGGAGCAGCCCCAAGGGCCAGGATGCTTCTGCAGCTTGCCTTTAAAGATTTCTTTGTAGCCAGTGGTTTGGATCACCTCAGTTGGCAAAGAGCTTCCCTACTCTGAAAGGCTTTTTCTCAGGTTAGAGGACATTGATTTTATGAAGTACCATAAAACTACATGTTAAATTGTTCTCCTTCCAAGGAGAACAATATATAAACTGGTAGAGAACCAAATTATGAGTTAATCATATCAATTTTCTGCTTACTCGGTTTAAAATATACATTTTTTAACAGTTAGGTCATTTACTACATTCCCCATAGAGCAAACGTTTAAATTCCACTTAACTGGAAGCTACACTTCAAACATTAATCCAGTAAATATTTTCCCAAGTCTGCAACAATACCTGGCATACTGCTACACAGAGACATCCCATGAGATAGATCTGATACAATTCTAATTTTGCCTTCTTTTGATTGAATACATATGTGTTTTACTATTGTTATTCAAATACTACAAACCAACTTAGTTGAAGGTTGTGGTTTTAAAATCAGTCCTTAAGTCGGGAAATTATTCAATAATGAAGCCAAAATAATCCATTTATGTATTTGTTTATTTTCCAGTTACAAGCATAACATTTAATGTAGCTTGATGATATTTTTTAAATAATATTTATTTATTTATTTATTATGTACACAATATTCTGTCTGTGTGTATATCTGCAGGCCAGAAGAGGGCACCAGACCTCATTACAGATGGTTATGAGCCACCATGTGGTTGCTGGGAATTGAACTCAGGACCTTTGGAAGAGCAGGCAATGCTCTTAACCACTTGAGCCATCTCTCCAGCCCCCTTGATGATATTTTTTAACCAACTGGCAAATAATTTTGCCTTGTGTAAATTACAGGATATATCTTGTATTCACTATATACGCATTAAACTATAAACGTTTAGGAAGTCATAAGTAAAAAAATGAATAAAGAAGAGAGCTCAATTCTGAAACAACAACAAAAAACCTTAAGAAGTTACGTTAAAAAGTAGCTTTTCTTCTTGCCCAACTAACAGTAGTACCCATATTTGGTTAATGTAAAGAAAGTTTTTTTTTCAAACAATTGCTTAGGGCGGTATGTACACTCTTATTTTTCTCTGGACAATGTACACATAGCACACAGGTCCACATGTATATACAGGCATTTACAGCACGCATTAACTCCTTCCTGCCCATTCATCTCAGGATGAACATGAAGAATTGCTAAAAGTGGGCAAATGTTGTCAGGTGAACTTTTATGCCAATGGCATGGGCCTCGAAGACTTGTGAACGGTGGACTACTTCCAGACTGAGACCTAAGTATTTCCAAGATTAAAAATGATTTCTGCAGTTGACAGAAGTACAGCATTGAGATTAGTTTTCTAACTACCTTAGATCCATATGCCCCACCAAATATTTGCCACAGACAATGAAGGAATCAGAAGAAGAAGGAGAGGGTGGGCAAAAGTATACTGCAAAGAAATTCCTAACAATTTACAGCCTTGACAGGAGAGAATCAGTTAATTGAATACAATACATATTATTTCCTAAGTCCCAAAAATCAGCATCTATTTTCTGTAACATCCTATTTTTAGATTCATGTGCTTCCCTCTGGTAAACACTGGCTTCCTCTCAACTAAGGTGGCAGGTACATTCTGTGCACTTGGTTGCTCATTAACAGTTAGTGGTCCCTGTTGCCTGGTTATGTTTATTAATACGCATCTGTTGGTTTAGACAGTAAGTGCCTTGGTTTGGATAATAAATGACCTGGTCATCCTAACTCTAAGATGAACTCTGTGATCGTTGATCTGCTGGCTGTTTTCATGTTGACCTTTTGTCTAATCATGAAAACAACTAAATGACAAAAGCAAAAGCCACTATCTGTGCACACAGACAGTGTGTACAGTGTTAACAGTGGCTCACAAATTGGCCACCCACTTGGGAGCCAAAGGAAAAGAGCAGTCTGACCAAGATAACTTTGCTCCAGTATAGATGCTTCTTCCCTGGTATTAAGTCATAAAAGATGTCTGAAGTTAGCTTTCTATTGCTGTAATAGACATGACTAAAAGCAACCTAGGAAAAGTTTGCCTTACATACCCTGGGTCACAGTCCACACTGGGGAAGCCATGGAAGAGTATTACGTACTGGCTTGCTCTCCTGTCCACAGCTTGCTCAGTCTGCTTTCTTACACCATCAGGACCACCTGCCCAAGAGTAGCAGGATCATCCACAGTGAGCTGGGTCCTCGCACATCAGTCATAAAGCTCAGAACACTCAATACCTTCTGCAGTCCCAAATTCCAAAATGCTTCAAGTAAGCCTAGTGGTACAAGATCCTTCACAAGTGTTCTGGAGCTTAAGGTCCACAGCTCAGCAGAAGGAAGAGCACTGGCTACACATCTGCATGGCCCTGGGCTTCTGTTCCCGGAGCTACAGAAACTAAAAACTTGCAAATCTCACTGAAGAGTGAACCATTCCCAATTTAAAATCTTGCTCTGAATTCTACTGCAGGAAATCTAGGAGAGCAAAGCTTCTCTATGGCAGCTAAAGCACATAACTCAGTCTTAAACCAATATAAAAGTCCCCTTTGCTTCGCCTCACGGAGGCTCATGAAGACCCTTCTAAGGTGTCTCCATGGAATACAATCTGAAAAATCCTGGTCTATGTCAACTCATTTAATTTACGAGAGGTTCATTTTTACCAGGTATTAGAACAGTATTGTCTGTACTGGTAATTCTCGAACCAAAGTCATGATCATCATGACCTGAATAGTGCACAGCAATTGTCATGAAAGCTCTGAGCACACTTTATAATAAGGACAAATGCCCATGGATACTAATGATTTCCTAATTGCAACTAGTGGGCTCAAACATGCTCATCCAAAATAACTAGGTGTGGAGCCTGAGGTGGGGAGGATTCTTTTGCACAAAGAGAAAGAACTAAAAACAGATGGGGAATGAGTTGTTAAAATTATTTTTAAAATTAAGACTTTGGAGTCAATGTGCATCCCACTTAAGAATGGCTACCAAGGAAACTAGAAAATAACAATGATATATAAAGATATTCATCCTAGCCTGGTGGTGGTGGTGCATGCCTTTAATCCGAGCACTTGGGAGAAAGAGGTAGGTGGAACTCTGTGAGTTCAAGGTCAGCCCAGTCTACAAAGTGAGTTCCAGGATAGCCAAGGTTACACAGAGAAACCCTGTCTCAAGAAACAAAAAATAAATAACAAACAAAAAGAAATCTAGCCCTAGCACTGGTGAGTTAAGTCTAAAGAGTGTGGACAAAATGTGGGAGGTGAGAAACCAAGAAAAGATTGTTAGTAAGCCAACCGAACCCCAATGACTTGTTTTTTAATCTTTCTGCAACCTCCTTTTGACACCAAACAAACCAAAAAAAAATCAAAACCCAAAATACACACAGAGAACTTACCACAGAGACTTTGCTCACTACATCCCTTGCAACTGCTAAGCCTTGAGCAAAAGTCCGGGCTGCAACAAAGGCGCGTGTAACCTGGAGCTTCAGTTTCCGAGGGACATCTCCAAAGGGTTTCAGCTGCTCTGTGTATTTGCTCACGCATTCCAGGTACTCATCTGTAAAATGGTACTGAGAGTTCACCAGGCGAAACATGCGCTCCAGAAGGCGAGCCCAGAAGTCATTGAGCATGTCTCCCAGGTTCACGTTTCCCGCCACATAGTAGCGCTTCAACTCTACGAAGAGATCTTTAAATAGTTCTGAATTTTGCATGTATAAGTGGCCATATGTCTTCACAAACATATCATTCAGGGATTTCTCTGCATTTTCAAGTAGTTCTTTGAAGAATTCTAAAAAGAAAAGCCAAAAAAGGGAGGGAGAAAACATTTAGAAAGGCTGTTTTCTAGTAATTAAATAGCTGAGTGAGGTGAATTTGAAAACTGGAAAATAACTGTGACATTCAGCTGGAAAGCATGTCTGTAGGAAAGTGCACCGCTTCTGAGGGGTCTGCATCTCAAATCTTTGTCATGAAAGGAAGCCTATATCACAACATCATTCTTTCTCATAGAGAACGAGAAGGAAAATTTAAAACAGCAGTTTCTCAGTAATCAGTATAACATTCTGAAATCCCTCAACAAAAACGGCAGGCTGGATATGACAACGGCGTGTAATGCCAGCACTTGGGAGGCAGGAGGATCAGGAGTTCAAGGCCAATCTCAGCTACCCAGTGAAGTTGAGGCTAGACACAAGACTGTCTTAACAAACAAATGAGCAAGGAAGTAAGCCAGAAAAGAGTAGCAGCAGCAATATACATTCAGGTATGGGGTCACAGCCATCATTTGCAGCAACTTTCTTGAGAGCTGCAATTCTTGTCTCCATCCGGGCCCCACCCATCCATGACATTATTCTTGTTCCTCAGGATCGTGGTCAGATCCTAACTGCTGAAGAAGACCTGCCTAGGCCAAGACACATAGCAATCATCCTCCATAATCGTTAATGAAACCAATTATAATATAAGAGTTGGCTAAGGGAAGCAGCCAAGGGTGGTGTAAACCAGAGTTCCCACTGATCAGAGGCTGAGTTAATTGGAACTTAGAGCGCCTATCCAGCAACTGCTTGTAGAGTCTGCTTTCCGGGAAGCTCCTGCTGTCTGAACGTCAGAGAGGAGGCGGTAACCGAGCATTTGTGAACAGGTTTATTTCTGTAATTCCCCATTTGGAAGCTTCAGTGTACATGCGGTGAGGCTCAAGCAGCCGAAACTCCCTGAGTTCACAATTGGCCACAGCTCAGGAGTAGAACTCAGCACTATAATATGCTACGAGCCTCAAGCAGTGTGAACGGTGGGGAAAGCCTAAGACTCCTACTTTGAGGTTTACATGCCATGGTTGAGAAAATAAAAGCCTCCGACGTCCCGTTTACAAAACAGGCCATTCTCTTGCACCCCACATGGCCAATGCTGGCACAAAGTCATGCTCAATATACACAGGCGCTACTAATAATACACGGAGTGACGCTATCGTCGCTCCTAGAATTGATGCCAGCAACCATTTAGAACATCTTTTAACAGACTGGCTTATGTCTTGCCTAATGATGTCGAACATAATCCATCTGGGGGGAACAGAAATGAAGGTCAAGCTGTTGGGAGGTCCGCTGAGAAGGCCTATAGCCTTATAAAACTTGGAGCTGTTTATCCAAAGGGAAATGCTTAACAGCTCTACCTCCCAAGGTTGTGAAACGTCCCAGACATCCACGAGACTGGAAGCAACTACTGGGTGGAAACTAAGGGATGAAACACCATCAGCCATGGGAAGAGAGTTTACACTACCTGGAAGGCGGAATGCTGGAAGCATCGCACACAGCTGAAACTTAGGAATTGGGGCCTCTTCCCTCCTTCCTCCCAAGCACTTTAGCTGCAGACTATTCAATTTCCCAGAGGCCTGGTGGGTGTAAGAACTGAGCTTGGGGACTATAAACACTTCTCAGCTCTAAAATTCAATTATTCCAGTGTAGAAAGTACTGGCTTAACATGGGAAAAACCTGAGTGGAAAGCCAAAGTTGTCCTATCAAAGTATTCTATGTAAATATCCTGCCTTTTAAAAGAGGACATCATGTGCTTCTGGAATTTCTATCGCCAGTCACTTGTCTTCCATCAAATAAACATCCAAAGTTCTTGAAAAGGGTCAAAGGAACTCTGGTTGTGCTATTAAATACCATTAGTTCCTTCTATATAAACAATCAACTGGCTATTGATGAATGAGCTAGAATGGATTCTAGAAGGAACCCACGACCTTGAGAGAGTAGAAGCTCTTTCTATTCAATCCATTTGTTCGGTGCCATAAATCAGCCCCGCGCGTTTACATTATGAGGAAGCTGTCTTTTATACATAAGCACTAATTCCTCCTTCACTATAAACGCTGCATCTCACAGCCTTAGTGTGACATGCCAACACTAAGTTATCACAGCAACTAAATTCCTCAGAAGCCTCTTTTTAAAGTGCTACAGCCCAACCTCTTCTAACTGTTAGGCAAACTGAAGGAGTCATCCATCCGGTCTCTCGCTGCGAGCAAGTATGTAATGAAGAACAGCTAAGTCGGGCGTCTACAAATGGAGGGAAAAGGAGAAACAAAAAAATTCTTCCTGACGATGGGACCTGTTGGCTTGGGACTGTCTACTCCAGCCTCTTCAGTAGTCTGAAAGCCACAGCAGACACTTTCCTCTGCCATGGCATGTCACTCCTGGAGAGCACCTGAAAGAGCATGGGGGCACTAAAAGGTCACATACTCAACTCCTGTTTCGCGGCGGATAGTAAATTACTAAGCTGCCCCTAAGTTAGCAAGCCAGTTGCCAGCTGCAGTCCTCCTTTGGGGCTGTTAGCATATCAAAGAGTGCTAGGGGGCACTGCCAAAGGATCAGTCTTCCCTTTCCAAGGTTAATTTTATTAATGACCTCTCCTAGGGAGAAAATAGAGTGTTTATTCTCTCACGGACCATGAGTTTAGCTAAGTTGCCAGGGACTCAAACTCAGTACCATATACTTAGTACTTCTGCTGGCATCATCCACTGTCCCGCAGCTAGCCAGCTGAACTGAGCACTCTCAGATTACTTTGCATCCAATGGGCCCCCAGAGACGGCTCTGGGCCCACATAAACAAGTAAGCTAGGAAGCTAGAGCAGCCACAACAATCATCTCCATGCTATATTTTGCGTGCAACACTTAACAGGATATTATGTGATATTCATGATCTCATATCAAGAAAAATCATGGCACCAAACCATTTAATTAGTGGTTCTAATTGCATGCATGTTTGTGTGTTCTGTGTTGACACACAAAAAAAGGATGAAGTAAACACAGTGGTGATGGAGGAATATTGATGATCAAAGATGACTGTTTTCAATGTTTCAATTTTTGCTCCCTCAAAATTTTCAATGACGTAAAATTTTTGACTGACACATAACATTTCCACACATTCTTGAGGTAAGATTAATATTTTGATTCACAAATCCATTAGACAATGATCAACTTGGGAGATTAACATATCTGTCACGTTAAACTCCTGTCAATCCTTTTTGCAAGTGTATTCAAATTACTCTCTTCTATTTTGAGATACATACTATGGTCAACCTACTTGGCAATAGCACAGCAGAGCTTTCTCCTCCTAAGCAACTATAATATTTAACCAAGGATTAACCTCTTCCCATTTCTCCTCCCTAATACCCCTCACCAGTCCCTGAATCTACTCTCAACTTCGGTGGGTTTTTTTTTCTTTCTTTTTTTTTTTTAAAGCCTCATGTAGTACTTCCACAATGTCACAAATGCTAGGATTTCATTCTTATGGTGGAATAGCATTCTGTGTGTGAACATCAAATTGTCTTCTTCCATTAGTCAGTTGATAGACAAGTGGGGTTCTGAGTCCTGGTCACTGTCAGCAGTGTGGGCAGTTGTGACTTTGCCAGACTGATCTCATTTCTTTTGCTTCTATGTGCAGCAGTAGAACATGGTAGATGATCTCCACTTCACAGTCAGCAGGCTACTCTTAGAATTCATAGTTCCACTCCATTCCATAGTCGCTATGCTGACCCTACAACAGTGTACAGGGCTTCTTCCTCCGTTGTCCTCAGGAGTATTTTATAATCAGAAAAAAATGGTATTCCTTCCCATGTACAGAAGAGTCTTACTTCTTTCACTCGGTTTCATCCGGAGGCCTCAATGCCCTACCTCTTTTTTTATCCCCCCAAATTGTCTAAGGTGAACAGTGTCAAAGAAAAACATCATTTAACAAAATCAGCATTCATTTTTTTTTCATCAAGATAAGTACTTCTTTTGCTGAACAGAATCTTTCTCGCCAGAGCAATTTGAAAATTAGGACAAGTATGTAGAAGACTCCAATTATCTGTAACTCCACAACTTGGAAGTACCAAAAGCTTATTGGATTCTTTGTCTTTTTTCACATGGTCACATGATTGACAGCCCAGTGCTTCCATACTACTGTTGTGTAACACTACGTACTTAACATTTCCTCTAGAATTAAAGCTTCTCCAGGAGGATCATTTTTAATAAGGTGGATATTTTATTTAATTTTTCTAAGATAAAAGATAGTATAATTACATCATTTTCCCTTTCCTTTTCCTCACTCCAAGCCCTCCCATATGTCCCTCCTTGCTCTCTTTCAAACTCATGGTCTCTTTTCTCATTAATTGTTGTTACATGCGTGCATGTGTGTGTATGTATGTGCACACACATGTACAGACATATCCCTAAATATAATATGCTTACTCTGTATAATGTTATTGTATGTGTATTTTCAAGGTAAATCATTTGGTATTGGATAAGCAATTGCTGTGCTCTTCCTTGGAGAAAACTTATTTCTCTCACATGAAACATTTTGGCTTACTTCCAAATTTCAGTAGTCTAATTAATACTGTAACACTGTAAATGTGCACATGTAAATAATACTATAATGTGCATATTAACATTCTACATTAATCTTGATACATATCTACCCTTCCTTAGGATACACACTTAGCAGTCAAAGGATGTGAACATATTTAAATCTTTTAACACGCTGCCAAATCAATCACCTGAAAGGTGTGCCAATGGAATATACTTGATATTTGAGACCTATTTATTTCTAAATTCACAGGGCTCCATCAATTCTCCCAAGGGAGGGGGGGTGACGAAGATGGGCTAGAGTAATGAGCAAGAATGGGCTAGAGCATGACAGCCTGGGAATTCTCTCTGTCAAGCAGATGGAGCCTTACCTGAACAGGTAGCCACCTCAAGGAGGGCTGCAAGGAGGAGCAGCCTTTCAAGTGCCCAGGTTCAGTACACAACAAAATAGTGAAGCCAAAGGT